CATTTATACACAACAACCAAAGAGCTGCAGAGAACACGCCTGTGAATATTTCATCTGCAGCCATAGATCTCCCTCAAAATAATAATTTATTTGTATAAGTGTTGTCATCCATAACACTTAAGTCCAAACAAGGTAATGGCTTCAGAACCTTGAGTGAGTGAGTGAGTGAGTGAGTGAGTGAGTGAGTGAGTGAGTGGAGTGAGTGAGTGAGAGGAGTGAGTGAGTGAGTGAGGGAGTGAGTGAGGGAGTGAGGGAGTGAGGGAGTTGGGGTTCTGTTTTGCCTCTTCTTTAAATAGCGTTAAATCAGCATAAAGGTTATGAGACAACAGAAAAGGGCTTTAGATCTTACAATACTAGATATACACAGCATATTAAACCTTCATATTCATCCAAGACCAAAAAGGGACTTTTCAATGTATAAGTAGAACTCTACCTCTCAGACGCATCTGTACAAAGGAAACCCTTGTAGAATGAAACATTCCCTATTACAGGGTACAGAAAGCCGTATGTGGCTGTATACATTTCATAATGAATACTTGAAACTGGCCCCACCTTCCATTCATAACACTATTTGCCTTTCATGATGCAAAATTTACAAACAAATGACATTGTTAGTTTTAGTTCAATCAGGTATCTATCAGACTCGTGCGGACTGACACAATGATAAAACATCGTGAAGTCCCATGGAGGATGTGCAATTGTGTGAAATCCAAACCACTTGCGAGGATATGTTTGTTTGAATGCTACTAATCATATGGTACATCTTGTTTTCACAGAAACTGAAAATGTTTACTCTGAGATGGTCATGAAGAGATAATATACCTATGCAAGCTGAGCACCATCAATGGAGACTGTTATCCTCTACTCAATGAAGTAACCATAAAAACTCAGGGGACTCGGTGCAGACATAGACTCAAGGTACTGTAGCTCACTGGAAATATTAGAGTGAGGTGAATTTTGGTTTAACGTCGTGCTTGAGAATATTTCGCTCATATGACGACGTGTATGCGTGTGTATGTGTGGCTGCTTGTACTAGCCTAGACTGAAGCTGGTTTTATAGTGCTAGCCCACTGAGATACCATGCCGCAGTGAAGCATGAATACCCCACTTAGACACATTATACTGACTCCGAACCGACCAGTCCTTGATGTACCCATTAATGCCGAGCGCCAGGCAGGAACCAACAAGTACCCTATTTCAACGTCTTTTGGTATGACGCGGCCGGGGATCGAACCCGCGACCTTCCGCTCTCTGGGCGGACGCTCTAACCACTACACCACGGAGGCGGTCTATTAGAGTTAGTGAGTGAGTGATGGAGTGGAACGGAGTTTTATGCTGTTTTAGCAATATTCCAGCAATATCACGGGCAGGGTAGGTAGGTGGGTGAATGGGTTGAGTCTTACATCTCTTTTAGCAATATTCCAGCGATATAATGGCGGGGGACACCACAACACCTAAATCTTGAACCGACTACAGTTTAACAGTACCATGTTTGTGCACACATTCATGCATGAGATTCTTGGAGGAATCAAGTTGTGATACTGGAATCTTCTCATTGACACATGTTTTGATTTCACTTTAATCTCATTTTATACATATTTTGTGATGAAGTTTAAATATTTTTCAATGTTGAAAAGACTAATTCACTTTTTTGATGACTTATATTTTAAAATGAAATGGTCACTAACATTTCACAATCATCATAACCAGGTTGGCATATAAATTCTGTAAACTCCCATTTGCACCCAACTTCAGAAAATATGCTTTGTTACACACTCTTTTGGAAAGAAATTAATCTACACACTTGAACACCTATCAAACAAATTTTCAAGAGGTTGTATTCATAACATGTTTTAAAATTCTCAATAAAATATAAAACCTATCTGAATTATTACTTTATAATAATCAGGGCGTTACTTAATTTCAGAAACTCAAACCATTACCTACCAACTGATACAGGATGATGGCTTAAAACACCCCTAAATGAAACATTATGTTCTCTTTGTAATTCAAATGATATTGGAGATGAATTTCATTTTCTGTATATTTGCCCAACCTTGGCAGAAAGGACAAAATTATATGAACAACTATTACTGTAAAAACCCATATGTGCACAAAATATATCAGCTTTGTCACTCTAAAAAAGTAAGAACAATTAGCAAATTATTTTGCATAATAATAATGTCTCATTAAACAAGGCCAAAAATGAGTGAGTGAGTGAGTGAGTTAGTGAGTGAGTGAGTGAGTGAGTTAAGTTTTTATGCTGCACTCACTCAGCTATATTCCAGCTATATGGCGGCGGTCTGTAAATAATCGAGTCTGGACCAGACAATCCAGAGATCAACATCATGAGCATCAATCTACACAATTAGGATACGTTGACATGTGTCAACCAAGTCAGTGAGCCTGACCACCCAATCCCTTCAGTTGCCTCTTATCACAAGCATGGGTTACTGAAGATCAATTCTAAAACAGTAACCCATGAGAGTAACATTGTTCATCAAACTGGTTAAATGCATGCAACCAAGCGATATGTTTACATTACCATTTTGTGTATCATACATGTATGTAACCTGTAGTGCTGCAATGATTCACCCAGACCTTGATTCGATTCTATTTTCAATATTGGACCCTCAGATTTCATTTAACTCTGAGTCGGCTTTTTTTATCGTGAAATACTCGTCAACTTGGCGATGTCAACTAACAATTCTCACTGGATAATTAGCCCAGTGTCAACCAATCACGTTTCTCCTCATGTCAGCGCTTGAACTGTTCAAGTTTGAGTCAATATTACGTTCTTGCTGTGTGGAAATAATTTAAATAGGTACTCAAATATCAAATCAAAATAGTGATAATGGTTATTGAAAATCGAAACTAAGGTGTCAGATTCAATTTTCGATGAATCAAACCGAATCGTTGCAGCCCTAGTAATGCCACAGAACATTGCGACAACTCAGTCCTACATCTTGAAATCTTTGTATGCGGTGATATTTATCAATTTTTTCAGAACAGCATACATATCTTGCATCAATATGGGTCTGAGTGAGGGTTCCTTGGAACATTAAGTTGCTGACTAAGGGAAATCCAGTTAATACTTTACAACTTCAGAAAAACCTGAGACATCGATTTCAGGAACCCAAAACTGCTGTTTCTGGATCATTTAGGATTCAAACCCACAACATTCTAACAGCTAGAGGACTAACTCATGCCTACATGGCCATCCATCTGTCAAGTGTATAATTCGTGGAACATGAAAACCAGTGCTTTGTGAAGTAAGTATAGATCAATGAAGTAAGTAACCATCAACCATTTTGACCACGCAATCAACACACTAGCAATCAATCACATGATCACATAATCAACACACTGGCAATCAAATGACATGACTACGCAATCAACACACTGGCAATCAAATGACATGACCACGTAATCAACACACTGGCAATCAAATGACATGACCACGTAATCAACACACTGGCAATCAAATGACATGACCACGCTAATCAACACACTGGCAATCAAATGACATGACCACGTAATCAACACACTGGAAATCAATGACATGACCACGTAATCAACACACTGGCAATCAAATGACACGACATCGTAATCAACACACTGGCAATCACATGACAAGACCACGACAATCAAATGACATGACCACGCAATCAACACACTGGCAATCAAATGACATGACCACGTTAATCAACACACTGGCAATCACATGACATGACCCACGAATCAATCAACACACTGGCAATCAAATGACATGACCACGTAATCAACACACTGGCAATCATGACATGACGTAATCAACACACTGGAAATCAAAATGACCACTAAATCAACACACTGGCAATCACATGACACGACCACGTAATCAACACACTGGCAATCAATGACATGACTACGTAATCAACACACTGGCAATCAAATGACATGACTACGCTAATCAACACACTGGAAATCAATGACATGACCACGTAATCAACACACTGGCAATCACATGACATGACCACGTAATCAACACACTGGCAATCACATGACACGACCACGTAATCAACACACTGGCAATCAATGACATGACCACGTAATCAACACACTGGCAATCAAATGACATGACTACGCAATCAACACACTGGCAATCAATGACATGACCACGCAATCAACACACTGGCAATCACATGACATGACCACGTAATCAACACACTGGAAATCAATGACATGACCACGCAATCAACACACTGGCAATCAAATGACACGACCACGTAATCAACACACTGGCAATCACATGACATGACCACGTAATCAACACACTGGAAATCAAATGACATGACCACGTAATCAACACACTGGCAATCACATGACATGACCACGTAATCAACACACTGGCAATCAATGACATGACCACGCAATCAACACACTGGCAATCAAATGACATGACCACGTAATCAACACACTGGCAATCAATGACATGACCACGTAATCAACACACTGGCAATCACATGACATGACCACGTAATCAACACACTGGAAATCAAATGACATGACCATGCAATCAACACACTGGCAATCAAATGACATGACCACGCAATCAACACACTGGCAATCAAATGACATGACCACACAATCAACACACTGGCAATCAACACACTGGCAATCAAATGACATGACCATGCAATCAACACACTGGCAATCAAATGACATGACCACGCAATCAACACACTGGCAATCAAATGACATGACCACACAATCAACACACTGGCAATCAAATGACAACTGGACCACCCAATCAACATACTGGCAATCAACTGGACCACCCAATCAACATACTGGCAATCAGATGACAACAATCCTCCCAATCCACATATTGGCCATCAACACACAACTGCAATTTCTCATACCCATTGTGCACACTCAATTACTCTTTTCGTCACCCAGTATCTGTATACATCTCCAAATGTATCACAAGCTTTGCCACTATTTTCCAGTCAACTTACTTTTCTCCAAGTTCCTCTATGAAGACTTCAACAGGTCCCTGGTTCTCTGACAAGTGTTGTATATGGGCATTATACAACCTGTCTGTGTGGCTAGCCAGCAGTACCTGCAACACAGTACAACACAGTACAACATAGTGTTACACAGTGTTATACACTTGACATCAGTTTACCATTTCAGGACAGTTTTTACAGCTTCCATATCCAGTATTAACATATCAAATATTGCTACTCTTAAACAGACACAGCCATTACTATTTATTAATAATCTGGACACAAGCGGTTTGCTGACAAGATAGACATTCTATTTACATCTGAAGTGGCCTATGTGTGTCATAAGAGTAGTGGTAGGTGTTCCTGAGAAGTTAACACGGGAATGTTTATCTATCCACTTGAAACTCAATTCATGAATAAATCTGCCACTGAACATTTGAATCCAGACCCTGTCCACTCAGCAGCCAGTTACTCAAATGGCCAGGGCCCCATTCCTCAAAGCGAACGCAGCGCAAAGTTGATCGTAACTCCCATACTTTAACATCGACTTACGACTGTTGTAGCGCTACGATCGCTTTGAGGAACGGGGCCCAGATCATGCAGCAGCCAGACAGTATTTGACTTGATGGCAGCTACCGTCTCTGTCATCATCTCAAGTCTATTTTGAGCGATGCAATTGTCAACAATATTCTAGTTATATTCATGCAATCAGTAACTGATTCAACCACTGACTTCAAGTGTTGGGGGTAATCCATGCAGGACTGCCCCTCTAACACCAGGGTTTTACATGACGCTAGATTCCTGCGTATTTGACGCAACAATTTTGTTAACGACGCTCAAAATACTTTCATACGAGTCAAGCTTGAGGCAAGTTTTATAGGTGGCCCTCACAATTCAGTTCAATAAAATCGATTTGATAAGCAAAAAATGATAATGTTCGATGATAGTTTGACTTTACAGAGCTGTCAGATTGATTGTTCCAGAGAACTCAGAGGAGACAGTAATTCTGGCTCTTTGAATTGAACAATGTTGTATTTTCATTTGGTGGTCTGGCATACACAGTTACATACTGAGAATGATTAACACAATATTAAATTTTCATGACTCCCAAATATTGAAAATGACTCCCAAAAATAAATATTGTGATCACCATGACTCCCATTTTTAAAAGACTGTGTAAAACCCTGTAACACCCTCTTGAAAATTCAAAGTAACACTTATGGGCACAATTTTAACCAACTACCATAAGGAAGTAACAGAACACTGACTATTTTCAACATAGAGAACTAGTCACATGAAAATAATATGGTATGCCAAAACTATAATCCCCAAATAAAACAAAATATCAGGCATTCTTTAACTTCCACTGAATAGCATATTTTCATATTTCCAGAACAGAAACACTTTTGTACAAATTTACTCATGATTACTGCGCATATTAGCAAACAAACTCTGACCCCTCTCAGCTCAAATCAAAATGTGAGCCCCACCCAATTCCCCTTTGGAAAGAAAGGCCATTAAATATGCTGTGGTTTGGACACCTGTGTATCGCCTATCAACAACTGAGCACCTCCTCCTCAGCTCTATTGTATAGACATGTGATAAACAAGTTGTAGTTTGTGATGTACATTCTCATATGACATGTTTTAGAGTTTCACATGACCAAATTTAGCTTATATTATTTATTACGATTTTTACATAATATTTCTATTACAGGCATTTTTTCAAAACCAAAATGCATATTTAATTTGATCTGATTTGCAAAGCAATTTGACATTTACTTATTTCCACTTTCTTGAACCATAAACAAATTACTAAAAATCTATTACGTTTTTACATCAGTAATATAAACATGTGTTATATTTAGGATCACACTTTCTTACAAAAGTACAGATTCTATTACTTTGGTTGGCTTGAGTCCCATTCAGGATTCAAACCCACACCCTCAAGAGTCAGGCACCTAATCGCCAGCACACAAAGTCAGATGCCAAACCCGCTCAGCTACTCTTAAATAGACAACCTTTATCATTTATTAAGTCTGGACATGAAATGTTTACTGACAAGACAGATCCCTCTATTCAATACTATTAACCAACTTCACCCGAAAGGGGATGGGGTAGACAGTTTCCCTTATACAATGAGCCCCAACATTCCCAGACTCTTGTACTTAAGGTTAGGTAATGGTAAAACAACAACTTGTCATTTCAAACAAGCCATAATCCCTACTATGATATTTCTGAAAAATATTTCTGTAAACCACAGAAAACCCTACTGACTTTACCTCTCAACAAACCAACCTCAAACCGTTACTCCTACAGCTAAACTGTGACGTCCCCTGGCTTCAGCTTATTAAATCCTATGTGGAAATAATGTGTCACCTCATTGTTTCAAATGAAGTCTGATTGACAGGTGATTCAAGAAGTTATGTAATTTTGTAAAATAGGAAAATACAGATATATCTTCCTCACACAAAGTGTCAAGTGGAAAAATGCAAAGCATACAAACTATATACTGTCAAATAAGAACACAATTTCAATTTTTATTAGATCTTAGCCAGTTCTGTGCTTTTCTAAAAGTATCTTTAGGAAAATAGCATCAATATTTAAATGTCATGTTAAGGTGACCTGCTTATAGTATTTGTTATTGCTCACCATAATTCGTTGTTAAATTTGGAGGGGAGAAAATCTAATTCCACACTTGTGAAGTTTTGGTCCGATGGATTCACTTGAATCTTTAGCATCATCCTTCTATAGTCCAGAGCGGGGACAATACTGATCAGATGTTTAGTGTTTTGTTGATCAACTTGACATTCAACAATTTTCAGCAAAATGAAGGCAGTCTGTAAATAGTGTGGATCATCAATCCAGTGATTGACATCATAAACACGGATCTACACAACTGGGACACAGAAATGACATGCTCAATCAAGGGATGTTGACATACAAATACATATGGTTTGGGCTGGACCACCAGGACACTATGAACATTGTACGATGCAGGGGAAACAAGTGAGAGGGAAGCCATATAAATATTCTGAGCATGAAGAAATTTATCTTGATTTCAGTAATTCAATAAGACTGTCTTTTTAACAACTAAAAGATTGTTATTCTTAAATTTATACCTAACATAATTAATATAAACAGTAGAATGCTATGACAGACAAATTCAGACCCTGAAACTTAAATTGAGACTCGACATAAGCACATGCAGAAATTCTGCAAACGTTTCCTTATTCAGAACTGACCATTTATTTGAAACAGCTGAACTATTTAACTTCAATCTTAATTGAGAAAAAATGTTATTTAAAAATTAACCCCTTTCAGATTGGAATGTTTGTTTTGAATTGGTGTTCTTTTCTGAATTTTCTAAATTGGTTCATTGAAAAATTAATATATCTGCCCTCATTAACCAACACACATATTTACTCCAGTTAAAAAATGAAAATGAGTCACTTGACCATCAAGATCTTTCCATCAATCTAGAACTGTCATGAAACAAAAACATATGCCAACCAGGCCACTGTCAAACATGGATCAGATTCAGTTGGTGGCAGTGGCAGTGGTCTGTAAATAATCGAGTCTGGACCAAACAATCCAGTGATCAACAGCATGAGCATCGATCTGCACAATGGGGAACAGATGACATGTGTCAACCAAGTCAGCGAGTCTGACCACCCGATCCCATTAGTCGCCTCTTACCACAAGCATGGGTTACTGAAGATGAATATTCTGACCCAGACCTTCACGGGTCTACTCAACTTCTAGTGAGTGAGAGCAATTAAGTATGGTTTTACGTCGCGTTTAACAATATTCCAGCAATATCACGGCAGGGACACCAGAAATAGGCTTCACACAATGTACCCATGTACATTGTAACATTTCCATCAAAAGTTTAGGAGAATGGTACAAATATTTACAACTAAAAGTACTTAACATTGTCAAAATACAAGCTCAGATAAGTATATCCAGGACCCTTTTCTTTTCAGTTTAAGAAAATATCCTACCACACAAACTGATCGCATGTTTGGAAAAGACATTTGGAAACATTATTCAGTTAGTGATCTTTTTAAGTCCTATTTGCTACCTGAAAATCATTACAATCAGCAAACCATGAAAAAATAACAGAAATGACAAGAATAAGTTTTGTTCCATCTTATCAGAACAGAGGTCACTCAAGCATTCAAATTTTGCCACAATGACCAGTTGTGCCCTGAACGTTGGGGACACTATTCAATGACAGCTGCTCTTCAAGGTCAACTTGTGGATGAAAAAGGATTTGAACAACAGGCATGGATGACAGCAGTAACACTGACAACTGTCAGAGGAAAAATACAAAGAAACCAACTTGTCACCACATAAACAGTGTAGAAGCCTTCTGTTGAAGAAACTATATAAAGTGAGGGAGTTGGGTTTAATGGAGATTTGGACAGAATTCCTGTGTTTATCATAGAAAATCACCGACACAGCAACAAAATATAAGGGATGTTCACTGAAGTGACCAGAAAGACCAAATTCAGAGGAAAAAATTAAGTCCGTATTTCTTAAATTAAGAGATATAGCATAATTAGTATAACATAAAAATGTTGCCTGTTTCCTGATGGTTATCAGTTTTGGAAAATAACAGTATCATAAACTTGCAAATTGTAATAATCGTTTGCCCTGTCAGAAATTCTTGGAAGATCCAGTCCTGTATATTCTAGCCATAGTACATTGGCCGGGCAGAAAGATTCCACTTTAAACACTGTAGAGAACGTAACAAGGCTTTAGGAGTCACTAGATAACACTGAAGCAAAAAATAACTACCACCCACAACCCATAAATCAATCAAAAGTTAAAAATGAAGATATGACACATAAAAACAAGAAATGTTTATAAACCAACGCTATAGATATGTCAATTCTCGTCTTCTTCACATGTATAAGATGACAGCTCCCCAAGTAGTGACATCCCATTAGAAACGCTGTTGAACTCACATGACTAATCCCCACTATAGCCATACAGCTCATAAGTGGGACCCAATGCTATCGCAACATGCAAGCATTTGACATAGTATAAACTTGTTATATCACACTTGTGACTTCATCCAGAAACATAACAAAAGCTTGACTATGTGCACAAGTACACAGCATACAATGTGACCTAACCAATATGAAAAATACTAAAAGTGAGTGAGTGAGTGAGTATGGTTTTACACCGCTTTTAGCAATATTCCAGCAATATCGCGGCGGGGGACACCAGAAATGGGCTTCACACGTTGTGCCCATGTGGGGATTCGAACCCGGGTGTTTGGCGCGACGAGTGGACGGTTTAACCACTAGGCTACCCCACCGCCCCCCAAAAATACTAAAACCACTAAGCTCAAATCTGGACAGTGAATAAATTGTTTAAGATTTTTGTTCATTATTCAAACTTATTTCTGAGGGCAGTTTAACTGTTTCAGGTCTGACACATGATGAATGGGAATTAAAATCTTTCAGAAAATAGCTGACATTACTGAGACTAAATTAAATACATTTTGAAGACGAATCTTGACAAGAGCTTTCAGTATACACAGTATCTCTACAAGTGTCAATACAGAAACATAACCTCAGAATGAGGGAGCCTGCGACGAGTGTATACTGAAGGAAACAAATAAGTGAACACACACAGCAGCCATTCTTCGTTTGTTGTTCCACAGAGCAACATAAAACAAAGATACCTGGAAGAGAATAAAGGTACACTTATACTGTCATGTGTTCCTTAGTTTCTGTCAGTATGCATCAACCAAAATCACTATCAGCAACAGATTCAGAATCACATTCTTAAATCAAAAACTCACCACTTCTCAGGCAACTGTTTCCAAAGCACTTTCGATGACAGTTTGAAGCTGCTATTCACAGCGACATATCCAAGCATATAGTTAAGTACATTGTATTCGTCCACTGGGACGAACCTGCACCTCCCTTCACTTTTATTAGTTCTCCTGAAAGTGTTAACTTGATCTGCCTGAGTGCACACTTATAAATTAATACAATCACCTGACTTACAGAAATACTATATGCCTGAACCGTTTTCAATTGAGTGCTGAAATTGATTTTGGGTGGAGATGTTTAAAGGTGCAATACACTTGAGAGAGTAATTAAGGGTCAGGAGGGGCCGTATTAGGGGCACTTAAGACTTAAATAAACTGAGAATATTAGATCCTGTCATGGGAGAAGAGAGGGGGGTCTCACCCTTTTCGGGAAAGGCAGAAATGTCTAACAGCGAGAGATAGGAGTAGGTTACAGTCCATTTGTTACAGTTCATTTGAGACCGATGAATTGCTCACCAACACAAAAATCTAATAATTGCACCAAAACCAAATTTTGCATACCGTATATGACCGTCTTTAAGCCGACCCCATGGATAAGCCGACCCCCAAACTTGACCCTCAAAATCAGTGTCAAAATCATATCTCTCATGGATAGGCCGCACCCCCGCGATGGGTCGCGGCCAACAGAGACCAGAGTACCCGGTAAGTATGTTCCATCAACGACGAGACACCATTACGAGAATATTACATAATAAAGATTACCGGTGTTTGTTTACCTTTTTTTAACGATCACTGCTTGCATCAACAACGAGGCGCCATTTGGAAAGTGGATATACAAGCGTAAGTGTTGGTGAGAATATTACATAATAAAGATTACCGGTGAATTGTGGCAACATGTGTTTGTGTTCCTTTTTATATCCCGACGATCACTGCTTGCATCAACAATGAGACGCCATTTTGTGAAATCGGTGAGTATGGAAATGTGAACCCAAGAGAAAAAGTACCATCGGTAAATAAAAACTGAAGTCAACTTTTGTTTCAAAATATATTATTTAAGTGTCCATATTTCATCTATATATATATGACAATAAGAAAAATAGTCCACTAACAATAAACACGCGACAAACTCATCCCACAGACAACTGGCAGTTACCAATAATTATAACTTTGGTCCACATTATTCAAAGAATTCACTGTCATATATATTGTGTCTACTCACGGATCGAAACGAAGTGTAGTTGACAGAAAATGCATAATATATTTTGCTTCTCTAAATATCATATTTATTGTAGCAACAAACTGGCTTGCTTATTTTACCCCATTCAACAATCACAAACTGATTACCGCCTCGTTCCATGTCACGTGCTTACCACGTTCATGATGGTCCATTATAACCTTAGTGTTGATTATATATTTTTACATAAAAACTATTACACAATGCTAGGATATATTTCTTTTGGTTAAATAATAGTATTCAATCAATAGAATTCATCCCGTTATATTATTGTGCAAGTTTGAACTTGTTCGCGTGGTAACGTGTGCACAGCTGATTGCTATTTCCGGCTTTGTGTATGCGAGACAAATCGCATACGGTAATCTTAATTAATTTATAGAGCAAAACTGTAACTAAAATTACACAATGCTAGGATATATTTCTTTGGGTTAAATAACGGTATTCTGTATTATATTTTACTGATGACTGCATCAGAATTCGTCCCGATATATTATTGTGCATGTTTGAACTTGTTCGCCGGGAAACGTTTGCACAGCTGATTGCTATTTCCGGCTTTGTGTACGAGACAAATACGCACGGTAATCTTAATCCCTGCAAATAAAACAATGCCCAGCAAAAACAACTTATAACTTAAATGGTAATTAATCTTGTCTAGTGATGTTTAATTGCAAATTTGACGTCTCTACTGACAAAGTCGTCTTCTGTTGTTTGTTCATGCGAAGTGATACGATGTTGTTTTCTTACCCCTGGAAAAAAGTTTGACGAAAGTGTAACTCATGGATAAGACGACCCCCTTCTACAGACTGCTTTTTTTGGTACTCAAAATTCGGCTTATAGACGGTCATATACGGTAGTTACATGAAATTGACAGTCCAAAACTCTGATGATTTGTCTCATAATTTTGGACACCCAAATCCAGAAGTTGTTTACCAAACAATCATTACTTTGTTGTCACTTTTCGCTATTTTTTACGAGGGAGGACCAGTTTTTGGTAGAACAGCCAGGTGTGCGAGTTGTATGTGTGAAACTGGAACTTCACTACACACACTTGTTGATTACCTGGCTGTTCTACCAGCAAGTGGTCCCCCCTTGCAGAAAATAGCGAAAAGTGACAAAATAATGATTGCTTGTTAAACAACTTTTTTTATTGGGGCGTTCAATCCAATACCACAGGCAGACAATCCAATGCCACAGGCAGACAATCCGACGGCAAAATAGAACAGAGATTACCACTTTCGCAACTAAATCTTCCAATATCTGACTGGTGTCAAATCAATGTCCATGATCACTGGATCCTTGTTCAAATGAAACTCCAAACAGCACATTAGGCTACTGGGCCACTAGCATCACTGACAGAGTGGTTTTGTTGTTTAACTGTCTGAAATATTTCCAGACAGTAAATCAATTCTGGACAAGGCAAACCACTGACTCACATTATGAAAAACAATCCACTGTCTGCATACTGTCATGGCTCCAGATTTCAAACATTTGTCTCAATGGACATTATTTAAGATAATTACCTTGACATACATGTCTAGACACACTTAACTGCCATTGTCCTCTACACTGACTGTCAACCATCCTGAATAAGTAGTGCAACTCTGTCACATTTTACTTTCACTGTTCAAATTTATGACCTGTGAGGATCTGGGATAGAAATGGTCTGCAATAACCCATGCTTGTTGTAAGAGGTGACTAACAAGATCGGATGGTCAGACTCTCTGACTTGTTTGACAGATGTCATCATATCCCAATTGCATAGAACAATGCTCATGCTGTTGATCACTAGATTGTCTGGTGCAGACTTGATTATTTACAGAATATAGCTGGAATATTGCCAAGTGTGTCATTAAACAAACCAACTATGACCCGAGAAGATGCAGGTTAGAATTCGTCTTCAGCGGCTGCTGACTACATCAATGCATGTCATCTTATGCCAATTGCACAGATCGATGCTCATGATGTTAATCACTGGATTGTCTGATCCAGACTTGATTATTTATGCTGAGTGAGTGTAAACGGTGAGTGTGTTGGGTTTTGATGTCGCTTTTAGCAATATTAAAGCAATATTGTAGCAATATCACGGCAGGGGACACCAGAAATGGGCTTCACACATTGTACCCATGTGGGGAATTGAACAGGGGTCTTCAGTGTGACAATCAAACACTTTAACCACAAGGCTACCCCACCGCCTCACTATCATAAGGAACTCTGACCCTATCCATGTTCTAAATTTGACAAATAAGTAATGTACGGTTTTCAAGATCTGGTTACTATATACCCCATATTACCGGGGTATAAAAGTCTTAACAGTTTGGTGAGTATCAGTCTCCATGGCCAAACGCTGTTGCTGCATGAATTACGCCTCCTTATCACACCATGCAGTCAGGATCAGATCACTTATCACACCATGCAGTCAGGATCAGATCACTTATCACATTGTCAGGGAGCGTCACGACCATGCCCAAAAAACACGACATGATAGATATCACAAATGACATGAAATCCGACATGCTTTATCAGAGGAAATCTGATAAATCTTTGATAAAACTATCAGCATAACAAAGAAAACGGAGCAATTTACATGGACAAAATCCAAGGATTAACAAAGGGCTAAACACAACAAGATGAAGGACAAGATAAGGGTGTTACGTTCACACACACACCTGGAATCAGATTAACAACAGATGAATGTGTTGAAGCATGTAGTTAAGCCAAGTAAAGGATTATTCTACTACCTGGACAGCTTCAAACAAAAGCAGCTTTAGAATAGGATACGAACTGCTGTGTGAGTTTTATTCCATGTTTGGCAATTTTCAGTTTAAGCAGACAATAGTTTTCACACATTGTACCATGTGTGGAATCAAACCTGTGACTTTGCAGTGATGAGCTAATGCTTTACCCACCTGGCCAACATATGCCCAAAGCCAACCCTTGATTACCTTGTGCTATTGTCCTGTAACATTTGTAAATAATCAAATCTGGGTCAGACCATCCTGTGATTAACATCAGGAGACTCAATATATGCAATTGGGATACAATAACATCTGTCAACCAAGTCAATGAGCCTGACCACTCGATCCCGTTAGTCACCTCTTACGACAAGTATTATTGTCTTGTAAACCAAGTCAGGAATAGCAATCATTTAGAATATACACAGTTATAGATAAAACTTAACTAATTAATGATCAAGGAATAATAAATTGAAAGCTGCAACAATGTAACCGGTCACCATTGAGACTTCATGCTCTTCTAGATGTGGAAAGGTTTTGTCACTTCTATCTAGAATATTTAAATTTTGACTGCAAAAAGTTTAGTTTGACATAATATACTCCTCACAAAAAATTAAGCATTTTCAGTGTAATATCTTCATCAATCTAAATAGAGCTTTTTGCCGACATGTTACTGAAAGGTAAATATTAAAAGAATACATAACCCTTTGTTACTGTCAAATTGATTTATCTGATAACATTGACATCATCACCCGAACACAACCACCCTCAGAAACAAAATGCAAAATGTGTGGCATGAATGTGCTCCACTCTTCATACATCCACCCTGATGGGTGTAAACCTACCTGTAATCATTCCTCTGGTCCTAATGTCATTTTTATGGATGATGATGCCCGTCCATGGATGATAATGCCAGAGAAAGGAACAATTACATGTATTGTTAGTAATTGTTAGTAAACTTACCTCTGGATTATGGTTGCCAGTTTCCTGTGGTATCACAGTGACATACAGAAATGAAGAGAAAAAAGTTCTCTTAAAAAAACCCAACTAAGTCATAGTTATCCTTAGTGGTATGCCTAAAGAATGACACAGTTATCTCCCCTAGCTGTGATGTCACAGCATTGTTCTCCCCAAGCCCTCATAATTTTTCTAAAGAAACTCGGGGAGGTTCGGAAGGGACCTATATCCCATAATCCAGAGGTAAGTATACTAACAATTACTAATAATACCTGTAATTGTTCCTAATTATGTCGTAAACGTTCCCTCTGGATTATGGTTGCCAGAATCCCACATATGGACGGAGGGCCCCGTGGATGAGAGGAGAATAGGGATACCAATAACCTACTGGAAGTATATAATTCTCACAACTGAATAACTATGACTTAGATTACTTCATGTCCTATGATACCCGCCACCATAATCCTAAAAATGATTAATTGTTAGCTTCAATAACTAGGACAGGAAGTTAATGTGAGGAGAATTCTGTCCATCTAGGAGAACTTGCTAGAACATACTTAAACCTTAGTATCTTTAATTCTGTAGAAACCATATTTCTATCTTTCTTAGAGTTAATGACGTCACTTCCAGTTAACGGTACTTCTCTTGATCAATTAGAGGTGATTAAAACACCTGGTCTACTCATGACGTCACTTCCATTCTATGACGTCACTTCCTGTTGATGACGTCACTTCTTGTCAACTACCGAATATGACTTACCCCTCTATTATTCAGATATAACTAAACAAATGATTGAAAGCCTTACAACCTCTAATTGTCCCTAATATGGATCTAGCATCACTCCTAGAAGTCACGTGACCTTGTGAACCCCATCACCTCTCGTGGGGATACCAATCCCGCTAACATAGTGTTCAACTATTAGTAAATAGTTCTTCTTAAGCCTCACCTTCCATAGGTCTACAGGTAGAATCTCCCACTCTCTTTCCTTGACTGTTCCAGTCCCACTAAGATCCGAAGTCAGGCTGTGACTCTCTCCCGTCTGTTGGAAGGCTCACTTCTGACTTCCGTGATCTGTTATCAAACCCTTGTTGTCTGAGTGTTTTGCAGATAGCCTCCACACGTGAAGAGACAGATTCTGAAGATTCTCGTGAACTCAAGTTGATCCCGGCTGACAGCAGATTCTCCAAAGCGGCAGTAGAAGAGGCATATCCGTGAGAAGCTGAAGAAGCGTGGGGAACCAGGCCCTCATCGGCCAGAGAGGTGCCACTAGAAATACTACACAACTGTGAAGAATTACCTTGGATAACACCTCCGGAATCATCTTGAACGGCGGAAAAGCATACGCGATCATATTGTCCCAAGGAATCGACATGGCATCCACTGCCCACGCTAGACTGAGTTAGAGGATCTGGTACCGGACTGAATATGCCAAGCCCTTCCATAACATATCGCAAATAGTTGCTGAGTAGTCTGCAATAGTAGGCAAGACCTGGTGCCTCCCTGTTTGTTTATATAAGTTACCACCGTGGAATTGTCCGTGGCTAACATGATGCTCTTCCCGCGAACAATCCGACTCCATTGAGATAGGCCCTTTACTATTGCCAACATCTCTAGAACATTAATGTGATATGTACTTTCCTCCTGTGTCCATTTGCCTTGAACTTGAAATTGATCCATGTGTGCTCCCCATCCCGTAGTGGAAGCATCTAAACATATCGTGAGATCCTGAGGAGGTGGCCGAAACGGGGCTCCCGTAAGTACATTTGACTCCAGTGTCCACCAAAGAAGTTCTGACTTTACATGGTCCGGACAAACAATTGTCAAGTCGAGGTCTAACATCCGGTACTGGTTTAGCCAGACCTGAGTCTCTCTCAGATGAATCCTGCCTCGTAGAGTAAAATCCTGGATAGATGTTAATCTTCCTACCAGAGACATCCAACTCCTGACTGACGCGTGTGGAACTCTCACAACCTGATGAATTCTTTCCCGTAACTTCTCCCAACGATCTTGCAGAGGAAATATACGGCACTCTCTCGTATCCAGAACAACAACTAGGAATTTTATCCGAGGCGATGAGTCAATTCCGATTTCTCTGGGTGAACAATAAGTCCCAAATGAGTGAACACATGTACAATGAAGCTGGTCTGAACCACAAGCACGTTGGTGATTACATTCATGGCCAAAAAGTCGCCGAGATAGCCGAAAATCTCTATGCGTCTGTGATGGAGGAAGGCCAGTATGGGAGTTATTATTACTGTGAATAGCCAGGGGGCAAGTGATATCCCGAATGGTAGAACCCTGAACTGATATCTGCGACCGTTGACTGCAAACCTCAGGTATCTCTGCGACAGAGGATGAATTGGCACATGCAGGTAAGCGTCCTTCAGGTCTAGACTTACAAACTTGGCGTTTGGTTGAATAAAGGGTGCACAAATTCGCTAAAGATTCCATCCTGAATTTCGGTGTTTTTTAAAGAAAATTCTTGTGGATCTTTAGATCGATTATCATACGCATCTCCTCTGTGTCTTTCTTGGGGACTAGAAACACGGGAGAATCAAATCCCTCTGAGGTGTCTAGGGGAGACAACTCTACTATAGCTTCCTTTTCTAATAGTTGTTGAATAGCTTTGTTGGCTGCTGTTAGGCAATGGCCTTGAATAAAAAACCTCCGGCCTGTCGGCTGACATGTGACTGAAAGTCGAACATGACAGGGTAGCATGAATCCCCGACGCACCACTGAAAGAATCCACGAATCCTGTGTGATTAGTTCCCAATTCTTGTGATACCGTGCCAGACGGCCCCCTACCGGCGAAGGAATCACGTGTTGAACAAAATCGAATTCTATCTCCAAGTCCCGGGGCGGTTCCAAATCGTGAGGAATAGAATCTGTTTCTAGAGGGGAGTCAGAACCTCTTAGCCCTCGAGGGGCGAAAAGACCTAGCCCCCCTACCTCTACCTCTAGAACTTGCAAAGGAACCCCTGCTAGAGGTCGATGTACGTGGTCTAGCATCCAAGGCTCTATCAAACGCTGAACATTGTAATGGCACCTCTCCATTTATGGATTGAATTCGAGACCCAGATGAAGGTTGTGTGCTATCTCTTCTACCCCTAGGTGCACTTCTGAACCTATTCTGCGACAAGAGGGCCGACGCTAAACGCTGATTAAGATTCCTCGTAGTAATAGCATCCTTTGCTTCAACTGCTTGTTGACACTGCCCGTTGTAGGTAGCCTCTGAGTTCAAAGGTTGCTGAAACATCAGCTCCTTAGTGGATTCCGGTAGATTCTTAACTGAGTTCAACTTGTGTGTCCTATCCATAGTCATGAGTCTGCCCAAGGAATAGACTTGATTCTGAGTAGCATCCGAAACAGCGTGATAAAATACATCCAAGTAAGAATGAGCCAAGGCTACTTCATGCACCGACATAGCCACGAGAGTATCCTTCTTAATGTCTGTATAATCCTTGAATACAGGAGGGAATAACGCCCTTACACACAGCGCGAACCAATTAACAAGAGAGGATATCTATGGTAGAACGCGCGGCTGTGTCCAATTCCTTAAATTCCCTGGGTTGGCATGGTAACGGAGAGTCCTTCTGATTACTAGCCCCCAGTAGACTAAAGTCCTTGTCCAGATGAGGTATCCCACCTGGCAATTCCCGACTGTGAATAGTACACGCTGGCCTATGAGGAATCTTGGGTAAGTTCGCCAGAGAAGTAGATTTAGCCAACAATTCATTGTAATTATTCATGACCGATCTCACTACTGATGAATGAGGCAAAGATAGTCTGGGAGTGCGCTCCCGGAGGTAAACAGCCAGAAGAGCCCAATTCAATGGGTAATTCCTGTGCCATATCCTCAGCTGGCGGAGGTCAAGTACTTGGATACAACCCATATAAAAAATCCATTTTTTCCTTCAATGTCCATCTGGGAGCGTAATCTTCTGCCGCCGTATCCATGGAAGGCACAACCCTCCTTCATAATCAATTCAGGATTAGATACCGGGTAGGCCGTATGCCCCTCCGAGAGTCCGATAAGTCCGGGATTAACGGTAATATGGGCGGATTGTCCGTATCTATAAAGTCCTGGCAAGCCGTTGTCGTAACTGTAGCCGTTGCATGACTATCCGTGGCATTCCCTGTAGGACAAGCAGCCCTCTGGGAGTCCGCTGTGAAGCCCCTGCTATCTGACGTCTGTTAAGGGACCGTGCTGGCGGCCT